GGAGCCACGGAGCCATAAAAGGGCAAAACACATTGAGAGGAAGTATCATTTGATACGAGACATGGTTCAAAGGGGAGATGTGGTAGTGACAAAGATTGCATCGGAAAACAACCTGGCAGATCCTTTTACAAAAAGCTTACCAGCAAAGGCTTTTAACAGTCATGTAGAAGGAATGGGAGTTAAAGTTATTGATGCATGGTTATGAGTCTAAGTGGGAAATTGATAGAGATATACTATTAACCATGCATATGTAATAGTATAGCTATGAATGATTTTCTATTGACGATTATTTCTTTGTATTTAATTGGAAATTGATGGAAACATAGCTTAAAAAAGAAATACACAACCAATTCTGATACCGGATTCCAATGAATCTGAGGTTTGGATGCAAATTGATTCAAAGAATGTATTTATCTATCTTAGTAATGACTGTTAAACATATTCTCTAAGACATTAGAAATAATGTTTATTGTTCTTAATCTTGATTTATTTTAATATGAGCAAACATTGATTGTCTTATGCTTTGATTCATTAAAGGATGAGTTTCATTATTGGAATAATATTCTCGGTGAATTGGGCAAAGCTTTTTGTGTTTGTGAAATATTAATTAATGATAGAATCAATGTCTCGGTTTAGAGATTGATGATGCACTTTAAGTAAGCTTATAAGGTTTCATAGTGTAAACCCTGCAGGTGGATTTTGAATCCGACACATGAAATAATTCTCAGAAACATAAAGTTATATTGTGATTTAAATAAATTGTCAGTAAGTTATTTAAATGACAGCATCTGTAATCTTAACATGGGGAACATTATTTTATTATGTTGTGGAAGAATTGTAAAATAAATAAGGGGAGTTCAGTCATGAGTTTTTTAGTGGATAGTGGAATAATTCATGATTAATTATAATAAGAATATGTTGGTCTACATAGGTTATTATTATAATTAGTAGCCTGATTTATTTTATTCCTGAGGTCCCTGTAGTGCCCTAATTATTTGGAAAGTTAAGGGTGTATTAAATAATAGATAAATTATTCAGTTTTAAAATAATTGATAATTATTTTAATTAAATAATTTTTTATTTAATTTATTTTATATTAAAAAAAAATATCTTTCTATCGAAGAGAGTTTTTTTTAATATAAGATTTGAAAACCCTAAGAATAGAGAGACGCACGTTATTCTATTCTCTGCCACTCAGAGAGATAGTTAGGGATTAAGGGATTACTGCAGAAGATCGTGGGTGACTCCAAGATATCTGGAAAGAAGACCGGTGAGCGATTTTGTGCTTCAAGAGGTCAGTTTATTGATTTGTTCGATAATGTTTTTAGTTTGCCTCATATGGTTTCGATAAGGGTTGTTTCCGCTTTATACCCGCTCCCATCACTTCCCGTGTTAAAAACATTTTGATCTTTGTCTATAAGAATTAATAGGTGTTGTTTATTTTTAAACAAACTGATAATTTAATGCATTTTTTAAAATTACTCGTTGTTTATAATCATTAATTTATTCTTATATAGCATTAAATATGATTACAATTTTTCTTTTATATTCTTTACATATTTATATATTGTTAAGACATGATTAATAATATTCATATTATAAGCGAATAATATTCTTCTTAAACTAATTTTAATATGATAAGATAACATTTAACTTATTATAAGTGAATAATAAAATAATTATAGATGGTGAAAAAATTATTATTAATTATAAAATTAAACTTCAATTTTTTTGAAAATGATAAGGTTAAACTTTTCTCGAATCTCCTTTAACGGAAGAAATAGAAGCTTGAGAAGAAATACCAAAACCTAGTCCTTCGAGCTCTAAAATCAAATCCAAAATTTTTATGATTAGCGCAGCATGGCAGCTCTTGCAGTTTTAGAAAGGCTTTTTCAAATTTCACAAGAAATCTAGGAAATCGAGAATGAGCTGGGTCAACGCCGATTTTCCAAGACCTGTCCACTGCCAACCACAGCAAGAAATGGTGTGATAGAGCAAACAAGGGCCAAGAAGAAAGATAGTTGCTACTCGGCATGGAACCGAACAAAGAACGGACTATCTCGAATTCCGTTCTCTGCTCCTGAGCTAACATTGGACTCTTCTAAGGGCACTAAAAGTGCCTACTTGCTCTTGCTTTGCTTTCCTTTTTTATCTACTTGGATAGATAGGTATAAGAGAATCCTTTTAGGTTTTACATAAGGAAAAGAAGAGAGAGCTAGACAAGAAAGCAACAACTTGATTTTCCTTTACAGCCTTTCCGAGGGGTTTTTATCCTTATTAAATAGCATATATGTATATAAGTCTGTCGTCGGAAGCTCATCGGCAAGAAGCGGAACAACTCAATTGCGATATCGAAAAGACAAGAACGGACCCCCTATTGAAATATATGTATTTGTCTTAGCCCGATCAATTAACTTGCGCCTACGAGACTTTAGGAGGTCCCCCAATAGATTATCTAGGTTAAAGTCTAAGTAGGAAAGGGTGGTCAAAAGCAGAATGCGAGCCAGGCTAAGAAAGAAATCCAGTATTGAAAGAAGTACCCGTTGCTCGAACTAGTCTTTTGATATTGGCTCCTTGGAATCCCCTTTCTTTGTGTGCCTTTAGCATCGATTTCTTTAACTAAATAATATGATCTTTTTTTTTTTTTTTTTTTTTTTTTTTTTTTTTTTTTGAGAAAAAAGATCATTAGTTAGTTAATGTTGATTTGAGTTTCATTGAAAAACTTAGATATAGATAATAGATTATAAAGAGAAAAAAATTCAAAAATTTTAAAAGTTGATATACTATACTGGTGTGTGTGGAACAATATTTTCTTTTTTTTTTTTTTTTTTTTTTTTTTTTGCATTTTGAAGTTTGTTTTAAAATTAAAATAATAATCAGTTTTTTGAAATAATTAATATAGTAAATAATCAATAACTGAAAGTCCAATTAGAAAAATATATTAAAAGAATAATATTATTAAAATAATAAAATACTATACTGTTTTTTAATCAATTAATAAAAAAAGCATTAAAACATTATAATTTATCTATTATTAAAAACTCAAAATTATTTAATACTAAGGTTATTAGAGGTAATCTCATTATTCCTCCCTTATTCCCACTTTTATATATAGTATAGATTATAGATAGATTATTATTATTATTATTATAACTATTAATTAAAAGGCTATAATTATATTTCATTTCAATATTATATAATATGTAATTAATAATTATTACTAGGTAAAGATATTAAATTTAAGTATTTTTTTTATTTAAGAAATATGTTAGTAGATTTATAATTTAAATTATGGTTGTTGTAATCCTTAAATGTTACACTAGACTTCTAAGTTATAATTATACTAATATATATATATATATATATATATATATATATATATATATATATATATAATAATTTATATATATAATAAATTATTATATTCATATTAAAATTAATTAAGAAACGCCGGTAATTTGATTTGTTTTATATGAACGATATTATTTATTAAATTAGTTAAAATATAAATAAGCCGATTTAAAAATTACATAAATATAATTGATGTATGAAAATTAATTAAGAAACGCTCGAGTATTTGATTTGTTTTATATGAAACGATATAATTTTATTAAATTAGTTAAAATATAAATAAGCACGATTAAAAATTAATAAATATAATTGATTGTATGTGAACTTGATAATGATATATTATCTAATCATAAGCTCATAACTTTATAAATTACAAAAAATTATATTTATAGTTTAAATATATTTATTAATTTAATAATTTTGAAATAATTATTTTAAAAATTAATACACTTATAAAAAAATATAAACGCTCTTGTTCATGAGCTTATTAACAAGCTAGTTCACAAGCTTATTAAATGGGCATGTTCACGAGCCTATTCACAAGCTTATTAAACGAGCTTGTTCACAAGCTTATCAAGCGAACATGTTCACGAGCCTGTTCAGGAAGCCTGTTTGCGAACCTGTTCAACGAGTTTGTTTGTGAGCCTCACCAAATCGAACTACTTCATGCTCAAGTTTGGTTAATTTATTTTAATGAGCCTAAAATTAGGAAAAATTACAGTATAATCCCTGTGATTTGCAAAATACAACTAGTTCATCCCTGTTTTTTAGAAAATAGACTAAAATGTCCTCATAGTTTAGTTCCGTCAAACTATAAGGTCATTTCGTACAACTTTTGCATCTTTTCTGTTAAGTACCTTATTAAATGACGAAAGTACCCATTTTATTTGAAAAAGCATATGGACGAAGTAGTTGTATTTTTTCAAATTATAGGGACTACACTGCAATTTTGCTAGTATCGTACTTTAGTATCTCTTTTTTACCTTTGTGTTTTCTTGTTGACTTAATGGAAAAGATATAAAAATTGGACAGAATGATCTAATGATGTAACGAAAACAAAATATAGAGACAAATTAATATATTTGAAAAAAGATAGTGACAGATTAGTTGTATTTCGCAAACTAAAGGAATCGTAATGAGCTTGTATGTGAGCCTCACAAATGTTACAGTTTGTGAGCCTTACCAAACCGAACTACGCCATACTCAAATTTGGTTCATTTATTTAAACAAGCCTAAAATTATGTTCAAATTTGGTTTGTTTAGAAACTGAACTCGAACCAAGCCGAACTTTTATCGAGCCAAGCTTCGAATAGTTCACAAACAATTTGATTTGTTTACAACCCTAAACATCAGACTAAATAATTATTTTCCCTTATAATACCAAAAGGGATTACAATCACTGCTAAAACAAATAATAATATAATTCTATTGAGTTCAAACTCCAGCTCTCTCATCGATTTCCAACTCGAGCCTTTATCAAATTCAAATTCCTAATAAAATATTCCGGCCAAGCTCGAGCATGTCTAGCTCGAGCTTATAAAAATAAACTGAATCAGATCTAAAACTTTCAAAGTTCACTCCACTTACAATCCTATCACTCCACTTACAATCCTAACAAAAGCACAAAGAACTGTGAAGTGTACAGACGGTGTCAGCAACTTTTCATTGATTAAAAATAGCCAGTTTCGCGGCTCTATACACTTTCTCAATGGACTTTACAAAATTCACAAGCATTTCAAACTGGTCCAAAGTAGACCCACACATGCAAAACTATCCCCATAAATTTGCTAAAAATCGCTAAACAAATGGGGGGCTGACTTTACATATAACTGTGATGGAAGTCTATTTACAGTAAAAATAATGATCCAACTAGTGAGAAATCCCATTTAACCCGCAGAGTGCACAAGGGTCAGACGATCTCTGAGAGCACCAGTTATCTGGGACACTCAAGAAATGTATAGCCATAAACTTCCTGAACCTTTTCTTGTACTCTTTCGGAGAGATGACTGTCGGTAACAAATTCTTCGGAACAACCAGAGAAGATTTGACCCAAGTTTCGAGTTGTTTGTCCCATGTATACTGCCTAAGATAATCAATAATCCCACATACAAGCTCTTGCCGCTGGCTATCTACCCCAACAAGTAAAGAATAATCCATTACATTGATTGACTGCAAATAGAAACAAGAAATCTATCAGCGTAAACAAATTTGCCAAAACTGTAAAATAAAAACTAGAACAATTTTAAATAATAAGACCAACTCACATTAAGGAAAGTTGTGTCATTCCAAACAGCACGTTCCAGAAGACGCTTTGCTTTATTACTAACATATAGTGGAGATCTATTCATGTCATTTACAAAGTTTTGATCTAATAGAACATCTCCTGCACCATCAGCATCTGAATTGTATCGAGCATGTAGAGCACCTTTAAGATCATACTGACGAATAATGTTTCGACCAAAGGAAAGATTCTCCATAACCATCAGATCATGCCTCGTCTCTTTTCCAGGTTTTGTATTTCTAATTGTCACCTACATGATTACACCAGAACATTAGTTTAGAAGAAATGAAGAAAAGGCTATTCTTTTCTCAAATTAATCCAGCATACCTGATAAATCCCCAAAACCTTAGCTAGACAAGTTTGGTTTCCCAACTCAAATGAGTCATTCATATACTTGAAATAATGAGGACCAAACTTAACAAATGAGTCAAATTCGGTCTTTTTGATTTCCTTTATAATCAGTCTATCATCCAGTGTTTTAGCGAAGAAGGATTTGCTCTTTCCACCTTTAGCATCCCAGTTCATACAACGACTGAGAGAAGCGATATAATCTATCTCAGATGGGCAGCACTGACTCCGAAGATCACGGAACTGCTTTGCATATAAACAAATTACTGAATATTTACCCTTTCCAAGAGATTTTGTAACCCCAAGAGAGACTTCAGGGCTAACATTCTCAGGAGAAACCAGAGATTCCAAAAAATTGAACCCATCAAAGCTTGAGAAGCGTGACTCCTCTAGAGAAACACTCGATGTAGACTGGAACGAATCTGCATCAGAAGAACTATTTGAAGACCAACGTGAAGGCATTCGAGTCAGGATATGTAAGTTATCAGTCGCTTTCACAAATGTTCCACCCTCTTTAAGACCATCCTCGTTAAAAACCTCAACTGAAACATTTAAATCTTTCAACACTGCCAGAGAGCAAGCAATTATACTAGACAGTTCACCATCATAGTCTCTCACAATATAATTTTCAGTTCCAAGAGGGATGTGCAACCTTGGTCCTTCCTCACTGATTAGTTGATAGGCTGCAGATATGTGTTCCTGTATGTAGTTACTACCTGACTGATATTTGGGCATGAAACCTCTCTCAAGATCCTCCAAATATATCTGACGAATTTCGGAAAACGGCATCCAAAACCAGGTACTTGAGTTTTCTAAACTGGCTACCAGTGAATGCAGAGATGTACCCCTTTTAGATACATCTGAATCAACAAAAGAATCACTGTTTCCAATATCTGAGGCAATTGGAATTGTCCTTTCCACTTCCAAATCCCCAGAAGAAGCAATATCATCTGCTGGGCAATTACTATTGCCAGAATAATAATGGGAAGAACCATTGGGTCTCGACAATAGCTCAGGGTGGGATGATGTGGCCTGATTCAAACCATCCATGTTTGACCTCTCAACTGCAGCAAAAGGAAATGAATTATCCAAATGATCTTGTACTCCAGATTCTTGCACAGGACCATCAACTGGAATTTCTTTCATCGAAATTCCATTTTCTTCAACAAAATTACCATCTTTCACATGGCCACTGTTGTTTCCCAAAACAATTTCAGTCTCCCCATTTTTTCCATCAAAGGTACAACTCATCTTTGACTTCAACTGGCTGTGCTCTGGTTTCTCAATAGCACCAGTGCAAACAAATGATCGACCAGGCAAAACCAGTGAATGCAGCCGCCGCTCCCAAATGCATGATTCAAGAAGAAGTTCCCATAATAATCGATTTAAGCTAAGAAACCTGTAACCAGCCTTGCCTGCATTTTCATTCTTAGCAGCAGCAGCATTTTTAAAGCTTGCCTGATCAACAGTGCAGACAAACAAACGAAACTGTCTTAGTAGTGGCTGTAAAACAAAGTTCTAACTGCATCTTGCATTTAAAAAAGAATACAAAAGTCAAGTCCTACAGGCAACTAAACAATTCTAAAAAAAGTTGTTACGTTATTGACTTAATGTAGCAAAAGAGATTCAGAGCCTCCCTCTCTCTCTCACACACTCTCACTCACACACACACACACACACACACACACACACACACACACACACATACCTCACGTAGGAAAACGAAATAAAAATGTACTGAAATATAACTAACCTCAAACTCAGAACTTTCCTGCCTCAACATGTCTTCAATAGCAGAGAATTCTTTTAGTGTCCCTCGAAGGTTCAAAGCAGAACCTTCAAATTGAGTTCTTAACTTCTTCAAAGTGTCTGCAATGCCACTGAAGAGCAATCTCCCTTTTGAATACACCTAAAGAAAATAACTAAAAAGATAAGATCACTCTTCATTAAGGGAAGATGGAATATATTTCCCAACATTGGCTAAAGAAGCAATGAAACTTTAGTAGAAATTTAGGAAGCATGTGCAATCAGAGAAGACATGTACGTTTTCAAATTCTCGCTTCAACCAATCATATCTAATTGAATGGCTGAACTCCAGCTTCTGAGGTGGCAGAGACACAGTGGAAGTTGTAACCGGAGAGTATTTGAACATTGCTGCCATTGGGCCTAGTCTGCAAAATAACCCTCTCCTTTTCTCGCTGACTACATCGAACTTTCTGGCATTGGTTAGTTTTGTGTCTATCTATTGGTTTTTTTAGCTACTTTATGTATGTTTTTATACCACCCAGAAAAGCCAAAATAACCCTCTCCTTTTCTCGCTGACTACATCGAACTTTCTGGCATTGGTTAGTTTTGTGTCTATCTATTGGTTTTTTTAGCTACTTTATGTATGTTTTTATACCACCCAGAAAAGCCAAAATAACCCTCTCCTTTTCTCGCTGACTACATCGAACTTTCTGGCATTGGTTAGTTTTGTGTCTATCTATTGGTTTTTTTAGCTACTTTATGTATGTTTTTATACCACCCAGAAAAGCCAAAATAACCCTCTCCTTTTCTCGCTGACTACATCGAACTTTCTGGCATTGGTTAGTTTTGTGTCTATCTATTGGTTTTTTTAGCTACTTTATGTATGTTTTTATACCACCCAGAAAAGCCAAAATAACCCTCTCCTTTTCTCGCTGACTACATCGAACTTTCTGGCATTGGTTAGTTTTGTGTCTATCTATTGGTTTTTTTAGCTACTTTATGTATGTTTTTATACCACCCAGAAAGGCCAAAATTCTTGAACATGTATAGTAAATACTTTTGTTCCCCTTTTGCCACAAACTCAAACAAAACAAAAGGATAGACAAAAACTTCTCTTATTCCATACCCAAAGAAGTAGAGATAGTCCCTCTCTAAAGAATGGCCACAGCAGGATGATCTGCCAAATGAAGAGTAGTAAGAAAAGCTCAGCTCCAAGAATTTTCCAAAGGACAGACACCGTGCAGCAGTAGAAATCAAGACTCTCTTTGTACATTTCTGGCCTCCATTCTTCTCTCTACATTTACCACAGCGGCTCCACATCCAAAGTTTTCCTTCGGCTTCTCCAGGCAAAAGCTTTGGAAGTCTTTTAACTCGTATTGTAAGCTGCTTATTATGATGTGCATAGTAGTAAAAATGAGCTTCTGGAAGTTCTCCACAAGTGGTGCATTGGCGTTTCTGCAAAGGGCAGCAGCTTCAATGAGTGGAAACGTAAAAAAATGGAACCAAAAGCCAAAAAACAGAAAGAAACTAGTACCCTGCGAACAACCTGATTGAGTAAATTATCCCGAAGAAACTTTCCAAGAGGAACATCAAAATTCCTGTAGAACATGATATGAGAAAAATGGCTTTGCTCACATATAGTCCCTTTTAAGGCATTCCGGCTTGACATCAAAACCAAAATACTTTGAGACTCCAACACTGCATTGACATCATCCTTACTCTGAACTTGATCTTCTTTATCGTCAACATCTTTTACTTTGTCTTCTTTATCGTCAACATCTTTTACTTTGTCATCTTTATCGTCAACATCTTTTACTCTGTCCACAGGTTCACTGTGAGACATCAAAGACTCAGGTTCTGTTTTATCAAGTGATTTTTCTTCATCAAAACTACCCTTAGATTCCATATCACAATGTTCAGAAACTTCTGAATTTTTCAAAACTGGAACCTCTTCTGTGCTCTGACTATTACCTTCTTTTCCATTGAAGCCAAAGTAATTAGCCAGGGAATGATATGGAACAGCAGAGGCAAGAGGTAAACTGTCCCCTATAACTTTTTTGAGAGAGGCTGAAAGAGAGGAAAACCCAGAAAAAATGACAGGGTTGTATCGTACATAAGACATGGAATTGTCATCTAATCCCATGTTTAAATTGTCTGAAACTTCTTCGCTGAATCCATTAGAAATAGGAATATCAAGAGTAGATGGCCCAGTTTCAGAATTAGACTGCTCAACACAAGGAATGCTAGAATCACTGGTGCCTAAAACAGAAGGGTAGTTATTCTTCAATGATAAATTAACCTCACCAGGTAACAGAATCGTTGAGAACATCGCTTTCCAGTCAACAAGAAATGAAGTCTCAAGAATCAAAAAATAAGCCATTATAACTGCTATCTGCACCACGCATTTGATCCTCTTCAATTCATCACTATGACTTCCCTTCAACAAAATCTGTAAGATTACATTGTGCAGCTGGTTAAGTATGTACACTGAAAAAAAAAATAAAATTCACTCTTAAAATTGTAGAACAATCATCATATTCATGCAAATATGAAGCACGAGGCAATAATCATTCAACTCAACTAGGTCTCTCTCCCAAACTAGTTGGGGTCTAGCATCCACTGCCAAATCTTACTTTTCATTGTGGCCAGTTGTTAATGCAAAACAATAGTAGCTCCTATTTCTCAGGACTAAAAGACAATATTGCTTAAGATAGAACCCTACCCTTTGACAAGCTGATATATTTCTAAGTTCTGACATATTAATCCAACATGATTCATATGCCCTTGTCAAAATTTGAAGGGACAAGATTCCAATTGACCAAAGTTAGCCAAGAGGCATGCATATGCTTTGGGCAGTGCATGCATTTGTGTAAGTGTGTTGATCTTCGTATACAAGCTTGCGCATTTCATAATGTGGATGCCCATGTGAGCATGTCTATGCACATGATTACACTCAGCCACCTAGAACTACAGAGAGAATAAAGATAGAAAGGAAGTTTTCCAGACTTACAGTGCAACCTAGGTGTGTAGGACAGCCCTCAATGAACATTAATGTCTTACTTGGCCTTTTCCCCCCTTCACCTAATCCATTATGTTCCTCCACAAACTTTTCAATATGGAATGAGTCACATTGATTTAACTTTTGACCAATCAAAGTATCAGATGATAAAATTGGTGAACCAGTACAACGAGCAATTCTTTCCAGTCGATGAAGTTTCATATCGTAGACCAGCGTGATTCCTTTTGCAAGGATAGATTCCTGGAGATCACGAGATACAGATTTTTCTACTAAAACCACGTTTGGATGGCACATGTCTATCATGTCCATTAGAGATTTCAGATTATCCTTTTCCTGTTTTCAACAAATGATCATAAGTAGCAGTACACTTTGATGATACAGAAGATTTCAGGAATCTAATAAAACTTACTAAATCCATTGATTTAAATGATGATAACCCACTTGAAGACTGACCAAGCACACCTCGGATCAGCAGCAACCTTGGGTTCTTGTAATTAGTTGACATGTGCTTGTGAGCAGCATGCTTTTTGAAGACTAAGCCCTTGACTACTTGACTGCGGGAATTAGAAAACAAAATATAAAAAATAATTCTCAGGTTCAAAAAATGAATGAAAGCATTACCCTCTATTTACTGATAAACAAGTAAGACATTTTTCAGAATTGTATAAAATTCATCTTGTATAAAGCCAAAGTCCATAGCCTGTCATGCATACCTTTCACTAAGACTATAGATTACAACTAATGGGTAAAAGAGTATTACTGAAAGAATAGAACTTAAACCAAAATTAAATGCTGAATATTTTTTTCCTTCAAAAAGGAAAGGTTCATCTTCCTCAATTAATAGATTCATGATAACAGGGTATGGGAAGATGGTGGTCTAAACAAAAAACACAAAATTAATGTTTTTTTAATGTGACAACAAGATATCACCTTTCGCTGCGAGAGCCTGTTGCAATGCATTTCACTTTCACATAACCATTAGGATCCATTCCTTTCCCATCAATTGCATCAGGCTTCAAAAATGAAGCAGCCTCCCATGCTAAAAGACTAACGATATCCACCCAACTCTCACAATCATTCCCCATAGAGGCAACACCAACAGTTTTAAGAAGTTGACTCACAATGGCCTTAAATTTCCCATTTACAGCCTCCTCCATTGCCTTTTGTTTTTCTTCTCTGAACTTATAGCTCCCACTGCCTTGATCCCTGCAGCAACTCAAAGAACTTGGCTTGCCCCATTTAGTGCCATCACCACACTCATCATCATCATCATTACAAGCCACGCTACCTTCCAGATCATCTTCAGGGTCCTCTGCTTCAGGAGGCTCCCAAACTTGAGCATCCACTTCATCATCACCAGGACTAGAAATCTCATTTCCTACATTAAAGGATTCAACAGGACTCTGAGTGGAATTATCTTTTGTTTCTTGACCATTAACAGTGTGCATAATTTCTATGTCCCTCACAATGTCTCTGTCACTGCCATTAAGCTTTTCCTCTACGTTGTTCTCAGTCTCCTTATACAATCCATTCACTCCATTTACAGGAGCTTCCAATCTTGACTTATGCAGTTGGCCATTCAGCGCATGACTGGCATCCTCCTGAGCTTTATCTACTGCACCTTCTTCTTGACTCCCCCTAACAAAATGAAGAGTACCTTTGATTAGTTTCTAAACAAGAGAAAGGGAATATCTATCAGCACCACAATTGAATGGTCTGCTACATACCGGTCATATGAATTTAGATCAACTGAAAAATCACCTGAAAAGGCAGATGATAAGAAGTATAAGAAGATAACTATACAGTGTAAGCCACTAATTTAACGACAGAAACAAAAAAAAAATCAAATGATAATAAGAAGATGCAGAAATTAACTGCAGTTTGAGACAGATCTGTCGGTGCTGGACAACGAAGTTGTTGGACTGACCATTGGCGATAGAGGATTCCAACCATCCCGCTTTACACGTTCTTGCGCAAGCTTCTCTTGACAAAATCTACAAGACCAATTGTTCCCTTCACCATTTAATTTTAAAGCATTCTCATTCCCTTGTTTCTTCTTTTCATACTCAGATTCAGGCAGTTGGGCACCACAATAGTGACACATGCTACACATCCAAGCCAGAAGATAATAAAACAACTAGCTTGTTCAAAATGAAGTATAGCCGTGATCACCTGTTTGGTTCAAGCATGAAGATTGATCCATTTATATACATGTTATTTAATGATCCTTATATATAAGTCATATATCAGAAGCAAAATTTGAAAATAAACAGATGAATGATGGCACCCCATCCTTCTAAAATTTCCCTTTTCATCACAAACCATTTGATGTTTAAAATCACATTGGGAGATTCAAATATTTAGCAAGTCAAATGATATTACTAAAACTGGGAGTAATAAGAGGGAAAATCACACGATCAATAACTGATGAATGAAAAATAACATATTTCAAGTTGTTTCTAACCACTTGGTAAAATAGATTCCAAAATAAATCCAGCAATAATGAATGACTTATTTGCAACAAAAACAAAAGTTTGAATTGAGAGAATCAAAGACGGCCCTCAAATAACAAACACTTTATCAATTTCGATTTCATGAGAAATACTTACTGGAATACAGAGTGGAAAAGAGAGAGAGAGAGAGAAAAAGAATATCACAATTCTATAGTATACCCAGATTCCATATCAAATAAAAAGCATTATCCTCGAAATTTATTATTAATAACAAATTCGCTTATGAAGAACAGTAACTCAGAAAGTTGCAGAAACAAAAAGAACTCCAAGTAGCAAAATCTTCAGAACCATTTGATTACCCAAGTTGGAATACCCAAGACCAAACCTCTTGATAAAATAATCACCAAATCAGATTAAACAAATCCAAAAAGGAAAATGAAAAGAAAGAGAAAAGTATACCCAAATCTTAAATCTGTCAGTTAGCCAAGACAAACACAAGAATTAGTCCAAAGAAAATCCAAGAACATTGAAACCCAAAGCAAGAAAGAAGGTGAACTCATGACCCAACAAACGACGAGATTTAAATAGCCAACAGTGATCTACTACAAGGATAAAGTGATCTACTACAAGGATAAAGCAAATCAAAGCAATCTTGGAAATTTCAAAATGTCAACAAATAAATCCTTGACAACTAATACTCATCATAGGAGCCGAGATTTCACACACAAGTTACCAATTTTTTAAGCCTAAACAAGTCAAAAACAAAAAATAAAGAAAAGACCCCTATGATTAAGAAATCATGAATAATTTAAGGAAAGTAAAGAATATAACTTACCGTTAAAGCAATCCAAAGGAACAACAAGGATATGGTCTTGTCTTCAGTCTTTGATGAGCCAATAAAACTACCATTGCAGGAACTAAACAAGCTCTTTTCTTTCAAATTTTTTGAAGCATTTTTCTTTTCTTTTTTTTATCCGTAAAGTAAGGGATTTTTTGGTTTGGGAGTCCAAAAAAAAAAGAGTCACCAGAGGGAAGAATTGAGAAGGAGAAAGAAGGCAGAGGACAAGAAATTAGGAAGAAAGTTTTAAAGTGGGGTCCACTGTGTAGTCCAAACACTTTTCTTTTAAAAAACAAAAAAAATTGGTGTACTTGGAAGGGTAGATTCATTCAAAATGTAAATAGTAAAATACCGTAGAAAACTGTCACCCCTTTCTGAACTGTGAAGGAGCGTGTCCTTCTGCATACGTCTTGTCTGTTTCCTATTTGACGAATAAATAAGAAAAAATATACAGCCGGAAATAATTTGTAATATTTGTAAATATTATCCTAAAGTAAAATTATCAATTTATCCTCCGAACTTGAGCACAACAGACAGTTTGCCCAAAAGTTAATTTTTTGTGCAAATGACAAAATACAAAATACAAACTAGATAAAAATACAAATTGCCCTTTTTTTTGTAAAAAAATAAATTATTTGATATAAATCTAATATGGTTCAAAAAATTAATTATATATTTAATCTAAATCGAATATAATTAAAAAAATAATCAAATAATATTTTTTGACCATATATTTCAATATAATCAAATCTTTTTCTAATTCTATATTTTTTTTTAAATCAAATATTTGTTAAGTTATTTTTAAATTAAATACTGTGACTTTTTATGATTACATTATATTTTAAATAATTTTTATTTTCTAATTTAAAATTTTAAGTAATTTTTTATTAGTTAAAACTATATAAAAAAAAGATTTTTCTTACAAAATTGGCCACTTTGTTATTTTTGTGCAAATTTAAAGAGCAAATTGTATAAAAAGTTAATTTTTGAGCAAATTATATGTTGTTGTCAAGTTCAGAATTTTTTAATGCTTTAATCCTATTTTTGAGCAAATTATATGTTGGCAAATTGAGCTTTAATCCTTTTTTTAATGCTTAATTAAATAAATAATAGAATTTTTTGGATTAATTGTATATAGAGTGTCTAATTTTTTAATTCTTTCTATTTTACTGTCTAAACTAAAAATTTATAATTTAGTATATAACTAATAATATTTATATAATTAAAGCATTTTTGCTGAAATTCTAAGTGGCATATCAAAATAAATTATTTTAAACTATTTTTTACTTTGTTTACTTTTCAAAATTATTACCTTCATTTCTCATTTCTTTTTCTTTCCTATTTTTACTATGTTTTGAAATCAAAAGAAAATTATTATAGAATTAATGATTGAATATTAAAGGATAGCAATATTAAAAGTAAAATTAAAAAAAGAAAATATCGATCTAACCAATGGACTAAATAGCAATATTAACAAAATTAATATTAAAAAAAGAAATTAATATTATTAATTTAAAAAAATTAATTTCACAAGAGTGAATTAATAGCAATATTGACATTAAGATTTGTATTATTTTGAATAAAAGGACTTACACCTAGGGGTGGCTTCACAGCTTAATAAGTAGGGTCAAGTGACTCCAATCAAATTAATATATAGAGAGAGCAACGTTTTTAAAATCAGACCGAACATCGAACTAGCGTGATAATTAGGTCACGGTTAGACCGGTCAATTCGATTGAACTGGATTTTTTACTTTGAACCAGATTGTTGACTTTTTTATTTATCAAAAATTAAAAAATTACAATGATGAATAATTTTATAGAAGAAAAAAGGATGTAAAATATTTTTTAAAACCATTCATTACTAAATAATTAATAATGATAAACAAGTCTTTTTTTTATGCCAAAATAATAATAATAAGTATCAAGAATAAATAATAAATATACAATACAAATTAGAAATAAATATCTAATATAATTTATAATTAAAAAATCCAAATATAAACTATAATTCAACATCCCAATATAAGTAAACATCTAAATTTAGAGCAATTTTAATGAAGAAATTTTTGGACGATTCAACCAATTTTTCATTGTCAAGGTCATCATAACCGTCACTCCTGATTGTATTGCATCAACATCACCATCCTCCTCAATATCTAAAAAATATATTAAAAAAATAGAATTAAAGATAAATTTTAAACAACTTTTATTCAAAATAAATTTAATAGTGTACAACTTAATAAATTACTCAAAAGTTAAAAGTAAAAACAAACATTAAGGTGCATGTCCAACATCCTTTGGATATTTTCAAGCCCATCATAATTAACCTCTCCTTCTCCTTCTTTTTCCACAATTCAAAATTCAATTTTGTCAATGGACTCATAATCAATTGGATCATAAAGTCTCTTATTTTTTGTCAATCTATCAATTACAAGAATTACAAGAATATGAAAGCATTATTTTTATGCAATGAATAAGATATTAAAAAAAAAATACATATATGAAAAAAAATGGTCAAATGCATAATTTTCCCCTTGAACTTTTCTCAGATTGTCATTTGTACCTCTCAACTTTGCGGGAGACCGCTTGTGCCCCTTAATTTGCATTTTTTGTAGCTTTTGAACCCTTCTTATTCTCTCAAGAGACCTACCTCGCTCTTCTTGTTGTTGTTGTTGTTGTTCTTCTCCTCCTCCTCTGTTTCTCTATAATCAAAACCAAATCAACCTTTTCTAATGATTTTATAGTTAATGAAATCGAAACTACTAATACAGGTTTGTATGATTTTTTTTTCAATTTTTATTTTTTTCTTGATCTGATTTGGATATTGATAGTTTCTAGATTCTGTTGTTAGTATTATAGGAGATCTTTTATCTCAGATTTAGCATCGATCATCAAAGAAAACTCTTTTTAATTTGAAGTTTTAAATCTTTTTGTATTTTTGTATTTTTAATTTGATTTGATTTGATTTTATTTTTATGTTCTTATGTCTCTTTTTCTTAATTCTAGAGAAAGCCAATGTAGTTAAAACATAATTGTATTTTATGAGAGAAAGGGATTTCAACAAGATGGAGGCGCTGAGATTTTTTAATTTTCCTCTCAGTTTGGGATTTCGGTTCATGGCAAAGACGAGTTAAGATTTTGCTTTTTATTTAATTTTTCGTTTTTCTCTTTTTCTTTTTCTCGTTATTTCTTGTAAATGTGGAAACTACATGGTAGATAAAATTGATGACAAATCAACTGCTTATAACACATCAATGCGAGTGTCACTACAAAAAAAATGGCATTTTGTGACCGACAAATCGGTCGAAAAATGCCAAAAATCGGTTGCTAATTTCAATTAGCGACGTAAAGATATCGGTCGCAAAAAACGTCGTCGCAAAATAATTTGCGACCGATTTTTGGGTCGGTCGCAAATTTGCGATCGATCAAAATTTAAAAATCGATCGCAAATTTTGGTCGTGTTTGTATTTTGAAACGCTGTCGCAAATTGGTCGCAGACAAAGTCTGTCGCAATTATGAAAGTCGGTCGCAAAACGGTCGCAAAATTGAAAAAATTAAAAAATAAATAAATATTAATATGAAACCATAATTTTTTCGCACTTGTGAAAATTGACATATATATATATATATCATAAACGTAATTCAAGAACAATATAAAAATGTAATTGTTATTGTACTGAACAAAATGTCAAAGAATAAATGAAAAACTAAAAGGTCCAAAATCAAATGTACGCGGTTGCTCATCTGCACGATCCGATGTCGAATCGCCGGGATGAGTACCTGCTGGATGTGCTGTAGTGCCGGTGTACGTGCCGGGAGGGGTGACCAAGGTATTGTCTGTAGCATCGAATTAGGAGACGGTAGTGGCTGCTGCTGAGATGTCGAAACATTTCTATCTGTAGCAGGCGCAGGATCAGAGGAAGAAGTACCAGCATCGGGCTGACTGGACAGCCGAATGACATGCGCTCTGAGTTTTGCAATCTTTTTTTGCTGATCATCAACACGAGCCCGTAATGCAGTAAACTCCTCGGCACTATTCTCGGGCTGTGGTCCTGCGCTGGCTGCAGAAGCGTGAGATGTTGAGCTGCAGTAAAACTGTGATGCCTGAGACCCGATGCCATATACCTTCCTCTTCTTCTCGCCCCCTATAGCCTCGAGATATAGTGCTACCTCATCAATTCTTAACTCAGCTTCAAATTCATCAGCCTGAGAAGAAACAAGACGCTCCCGAGCTGTAATATAGTTCTCCTGAAAATAAAAAATTAATTAATCAATGCTTAATCAATGCAATTGCAAGCTTTATTATATTAAACTTTGTACATCTTCGCAACGAGTAGAGGGTAAAACTGTAATATTATTCATTGTTACTTACATTGACGCTCACCGACGTTCTATCGCAAAACGTAGTTAAGATCGTGTCCTTCGTGTGAGTGTTGTAAAACACTCATCAGTGTTGCTCATAACCTAACTTCTTCCTGTAATGAATTTTTATGCCATGATATATTAATAATACTAGTGTCCCTTTCATTAAACATCAGTTTCATATACTGTGACTAGTTCACTTACTAATAATCGAGCTTCTCTATTAGCAGATCTGACCCCCCTGTGTGTCGAGAAGGTCCTGCTCCAGTCCACCGCAAGTCTCACTGCCAGTTTTGTGTAAATATTTCTCTCGCTTTCTCTGAAATGCAGGAATCCTCCCAAAGCCTTTTGCCACTGTCTCCCATACTTCCTGAGACAGACACACTTGCTTTCTTACCGCTTCTCTCATCCTATAGGTGAAGTAGCATATCGATCAGCACTAACTTCTCCCCAGGCACTTTCAGCAATAGTCGTAACCCATATGAAAT